AAAAAATGAGGCAAGAATTAGCAAAATACATTGTACATGCTGAACAACTATTTTTGTTAGTTGAAGATACTAAACTTGAAAAATTGTTACGTAGTTCTGTAAATCCACAATATAAAAAAGTTTCTAAGAATACTATTAGATTAGATACTTTAAAAACAATTTTATTCATATAAACAAAATTTAATTCATATGTTATCAAATCTTAATTCTAAAGTTGCAATTGCTTCTGATGTTTGGACTTCTAAATTTAATATAAGTTATATTTGTATTACCGGTCATTTTATTGATAAAAATTGGCTTTTAAATAAAAGAATTTTAAGTTTTACTAGGCATGAATGGCCACATGCTGGCCCAGCTATTACTGCAAGCATTTTAAATACCTTACATGCTTATGGAATTAAAAATAAATTATTTTCTATTAGTTTTGATAATTCTAGTAATAATGATTTAGCAATAAATATTTTAAAATATCAATGAAAACCATGTTTAAATGGTAAATTATTTCATATCAGATGTGCATGTCACATCTTAAATTTATGTATTCATAATGCCTTAAATATTATTTTCACTCATATTTCTAAAATTAGAAAATTGTATTATATATATTAAAAGTTTTGGAGTAAGAAAATAAGAATTTAAATATTTATTTCAAAATTATGGTTTAAAATATAAACATTTTATATTAGATGTTAAACATAGACGGAATTTTACCTATGCTAGGTTAGAAAGTTGTATTTCTCACAAACAAATTCTTAGTGATTTTTATAATGCAAAAATGCCTAATTATATTATATTTAAGGAAGAATGAGAAATGACAATTTGTATAAGAGATTTTCTAAAACATTTTTATGATGCAACTGATGAATTATCGGGTATTTATTATCCAACTAGTTGTAATTTACCTTACCAATTAATGGTGATTAGTGATTGTTTTGCAAAATATAGAAATAATTCACAAGTTAAAAGTATTGTTGAAATAATGGAAAATAAATTTAAAAATATTAGGAAACATTTCTCTTATTTTTTTATGGTTTAGATATTTTACTTGGAACATGTTGTGAAAATATGAATATTGAAATTGAAAATAAAAAAAGAAGAAATTAATAGTTTATTATTTGAAATATGTAGTTTACATGAATCTAAGTAATAGAAAATAATTTTACAAGTTATATAGTTGCATCTTCTACTTCTAAACTTGAGCCTATTAGCAGAAGAGAAAAATTTTTTTATTTAATAAGTAGAAGGTAGAAATCTCCTACCTCAACAACAAGTTTATTTACTAAACTTAATTTTTATTTATAAGCATTTTTTTTTCTACTTTAGGTGAGGGAACAAATAATTTTGATATTTTAGCTTGGTGTAGTGAACATTCAAAAAATTATCCAGTTTTGCTACCATGACATGTGATCAACTAACCTCTCTGGTGTCTACAATTCCATTAGTCTTGTTTTAGTGTAGGTACTAGGGTGTTGGACGACAAAAGAAGATCTATGAATGATGAAAGTATAGAGATGTGCATTTGCTTTAAAGATTGGTTGGATGCTAAAGACAGATTACAAGACAAAGGAGAGCATAACACTACACTCGATATTTCACTTGAAGCAGATGATGAAAGTCATGAACAAAAGGAGAAAATAAAAAAATGATGAAGTCAATATTTTTTGTATACTCACTCAATAGTTATATAGCATTTTTTTAAATTATTGTAAATTTTGTTTTAATTTTATTTAATTTATTTGTATTTTTTTAACCATGTAATTTTGTATTTTCAATTTGTAACTATATTGTATTTTTTATATTTTATTAATTTATTCCATTTTCCAATTTTCATATTTCTTTCATCCAAGTATCCAACCATTTTATGCTTTGTAATTTGTATCATTCAAATTTAAATGAAATAAAATTCTTATTTTTCTTCTAGTTTGTCATTCCATTCTTGTTTGGTTAAGTATTTTTTTTTCATTTATTTGTTAGATTTCTCATTTCTTATTTTTTCAAATAGTTCCCTAAGCCCAAAGGAAAGTTAAATATTTTAGTTTTACACTTTTACTTAGCAAAGAAATAAAAAAATAAAAAATGTCAAAAAAATAAACAAAAAATGAAAAAGATAAAAAACCAATCTGGCCTGGTTCAGCCCATGCCCAATGTCCAACATATGACCTAGCCTTACACGGCCCCGGTCCAACTTGGCCTAGACCCGCGGCACGGCACGGGCCCGCGCGGGCTTGAGCTGTAAGCCATGTCAAACCGATCCCCCAAGTTACCACAGGAAAAAGCGACACGACCGGTAGGCCAGCACGGCATGGCCCACACTTTGCACGGGCCACCCACGGCCCGTTTTAGACCTCTTATAATATGTAGTATCAAATTTAGTCACGGAAAGTCAAAGCATTTGAAAGACTCATTTTAACGAGAGATGTAACCCCTTATCTTTTCTTATTGTAATCAAGTTATCAATAGTTTCAACCATTCGATATTTCTTTGTAAACATCACAACTTAGTGTTAATTCCCGAAAAGTGGGCCATGGATTCATTGAATGGTACATTGATGAATGTTAAGTATCCATCTATATATACATATATAGAAATGTATAAATAAAGCCTCCAATCTATAAATAAACATGTATATCATATTTACTTATATATATGTGTGTATTTTATACTTGTATTAAATAAAATTTAGTGAAAACTTACAGATGAACCGGAAACTTCCTCCATACAAGATGAAAGATGAGGATGATATAGTGGATTTCATTGTTTTGTTATCTTTTCCAAAATAAATCATAAATGATATGAAATCTTCTAAAGTCCTTTTGTTCTCTTTCCTAAGAAAGGAAAAGTGATTAGAGGTATTAATTGGTAGGGTTTAAGATATGATTCCTTTTTGTAGAGATGGTCCCAATAGTCAACAAGGGACACCATTGTGAGGTAGCCCTTGTTGTCAACTTGTATGACCTGGGTCCGGAATATACTTTGTAAGGTCCTATCACTTCATCAAAGAAAATGACACTCCCATCTCCTCCACAAATATCTAAATTTTGGAGAAAATCAAGGTAAGTGTGGAATTGGGATTAAAGAAAACCAGATTTTTATTAAACCCAATCACATTTCTCTATAAGTATGGCATCTTCTACGACCCCAGATTGTGAATTACCGAAAAAAGAAACACTGTAAGCAACAATCCACAAAAGACATGCAACTGAGTAACAATTTGAATGTTTAGGTTCCATGAAATTATAAACTTTCATCTAGCTCCCACTTTACTTTTAAGCTTATAGCCTTTATAAAAAGATTTTTTTGCTTTGTTGTCATAGAAAAGGAAATAGTTAAGAAGATGAAATGAGAATAATACAGGAAGGGATTTGAGATTAATGCCAAAATGGGAAAAAGAAGAGTGAGGAGGATGGAATGGAATATGGAAAATCGTAATTAGGGATTAGTTCTATATTTCTCAGCTTGTTAAATCACAAAATGACATTGAATACCACATTGCCAATTGATCAAAAAATTATAAAAAAAAGTAACAATTTTCTGCTCTATACTTTCTTAAAGCAAGAATACCGTGGAATCTCAGGACGACCATCAATCGTGCAACAGAATCAATTATGCCATTTTGCGACCCTTGATTTCGTCTTTACAAATAACAAGACATAATATGATGCATAAGAATTTCACACAAGCTAATTTTTAATATTTTGTCCTTTTATTTTCATAGCATTTATCTTTTTTTTTTTTTTTTTGATTCATCTGAGAGAGTCTAAGAAAATATATATGTAGCTTCTTTGAAAACCAATCCATCGTGCAACAGAATCCATGTATATATGTCATTTTGCCGCCCTAGATTTGTCTTTATAAATAACTAGACAATGCGATGACTAGGAAATTAAGATAATTTAATCAACATAAATATATATAGCTTCTTCAGAAACCAAGCTTTAATTCGGCATGTAATTCGTAAATGGAAAGCATATTATTCGTTAGTAGATATATTTGAATTGTTCATGAATTAACACTACTGTTGTGTAGCCCCATGAACACCCCCCCCCCCCCAAAAAAAAAAAAAAAATCACCCATACTAAAAAGATGTTCCCAACAGAATAAGGGGGCGTTTTTTTTTTGGTTGCCGGCTGTTTCAAAAACAAAACAAAATCGGTTGATTTGAAAACAAATTGGTTTATTAAAAAAACATGGAAAGCATGTTCTTGATTATATAATGTTATTTTTGTTTCCAAAACTGAAATCAAACATGCGTTCTTGAATTTATGGTTTAAACTTTAAACAACATGTTTTCATCTGATTATTTAATATCATATTTCATGAATCATACAATTTTTTTACATCACAAAATTTGTTTTTATTTTAAAACCCATTATTAAAACATGTATTGTTTTGAAACAAAACCAACTTATTTTTTCCTCTCAAAACAAAAAACAGAGTTCAAGAAAATCTTTTTGTTTGTTGTTTTTTTTTGTTGATGTGGCAAATTCAAAAACAAATGGTAACAATCTAATTAAAACGTAATAGATTAAATGTCTTAGGTGAAAGAAACATCATACCTTTCTCTTGTTATTTTGTAAAACATTGTATACTTGGTATATGATTGTTTATAGACAATGAATACTAAATACCCATAAATTGAACTAAACTGGGTGCTTGCTACTGGTATGCAATATAGCCAATAAAAACAAAAGTCAATATAAACATATATGTTGATGCAAATAGACTAGTCTTACAGATAACCATGCATCACTTATTACCTGAATTAGTGCCCTTACCATCCCAAGTTGTTTTACCAAAAGATCAACCATCACTTTGAATAAAAGAGAAGTATAGATAATTACACAATACAAGTAGTAGTTGATACTGTGATTGCTGCATTATGCATCTGTGGAGAAGAACTATACATACTAGAAGTGCAGCTCTCTTAGCTTCTCCTCCTCCCTAAAGCCTTCAAAGAATCTTCATATTAAGTATTACTAATTAATAACAGTAGTAATATAATAATTAATAAATAAATATGTATAAAGTACAAGCCTAAGTGTGATGTTTATGACCTCACCTGGATTTTGCTGCAACAGACCAACAGTTACAGTAACACAACCTAAGAGCTAGCCTACTTCCTTTCTTTTAATTTCCTTTTCCTTTGTTTCCTTCTAACAAGTCTTGTATCTGACAGACAGAATCTATGACACTCAATCAAACGGTACTTAACTAAAAAGCTCAGTTGTTTGATATCTATTATCAGTTTATGGCTCTGACATATAACACTCTCCTACATACAGGGGGGGGAGGCGGGGTGTCTCCCACTTGATCAGTTTGTCTTGATTCAAGCTTGCGTATCTAGAATTCGAGTGGATTAATATCGAACTCACCACGGTAAACCAAACTAGGAGTTCCAATTCATGCCTGAGAACTGGTACGGTTGCCGGAAAACGCCATCACCCATAGGCCCAAGAAGCGGGCTGTGGAACGGAGTGGCTTGTGGGAGCTGATTGAGTAGCAGCGTGGTGATGGGACTGTTGGCATTGGTGGTGTCGCTGCCACTGTTGTTGTGATTATTAGCGTGGAATCTCTTGGCTGATGAGGGCCCAACAGCAGACACGTCGTTCCAATATGGAGATGGGAGGGTGCGTTTGAGAGGTGGGAGGGAAGCAGCTGGAACCATGGAGAGCTCTGTCTTTGAACTTGCTGAGCCTAACTGGGTAATGGAGGTGCTGTTGACACCATCATCAGTCAATAGACCTTCAAAGAAATTTTCGTCAGTTTCAAGCAACGAGCCATAGGTGGCGGTCCTCTGGGTCGGCTGCTTGGAACTCTGCTGCACTTCCATAAATGATGTTGAGGTTGGCAGACCCAGCATGTCATCCATAGAATCTTCCTTGTCCCGTTCCATGGGCCTGTTGGAGTTGTTCTTCTTGTAGATTCGGCATAAGACCCAGTCATCAAGCTACACCCAGAAAGAATTATTACAACCTCCCCTTGTTAATTAGTCTGATGTGTTAATTGTGGCCTTTTAATAAAGAACAATGGCTGTTTTGTTTTAATTTTGAGCTAGATTTTCAGGCTAAAAGACCTTAATTGAGACTAGCGAGTGCAGTTAATTACCCGTAAGGAGCTCTTTTTGTTGGACGTGTCGGCGCCGGGAGGCTTATTGGAGGTGGTATTATTGTTATCGGCTAGCCTGTATTCATGCATGATCCAATTGGTTTTGATCCCTTTGGGTGGCCTTCCTCCATAGAAGACGAGGGCCTTCTTCACTCCCACCTTCTGGGTTCCACCGGAGGTTAATATAGGTTTATCCGTTCCGGTAGCTTTCCAGTAGCCAGACGTCGCTGCTCGGTTAGGCCGGGCGCCATTCGGATACTTGCGGTCTCTGGGACTGAAGAAATACCATTCCTGATCACCGAAAGTCGCCTTGCCTGAAAAGTATTTCCAATTCAAGATGAATACTGGAATTTAATTAGAGAGTTATTCCATCAAAAGGATAGATAATTGATATGAGATTCAACAATTGAATATATATTTATATGGAGAAATAATTGTGTACATATATATATAATATACCTGGGAGTTCCCATGGATCGAACTTGTAGAGGTCAACTTCAGCGATGATCGTAACAGGGAGGGGTGCAGAGGAGGCCTTCTTTTTGAGATAATGGACTACCAACTCTTCATCGGTTGGATGGAAGCGAAAGCCGGGTGGGAGCTGGGGCTGCTGCTGTGAGCCCGACGAGGAATCGGTGCTCTCCATGGATATATGTTTGCAGAGATACTGAAGGAACTCAAGGTTGTAGTATTATTGGTTCTGGGTTTTGTAGAGATTGAGAACTGATCATGGAGAGGAAGAGAGAAAGATAAAAAGGCAGAGAGAAGGAGATGGGGTGGTTGGAGGCGTGGAGGTGAAATTCTGGGGAGTCCAGAATGGTTTGCAAATGTTGCAGAGAGGTGTGTAGGCTATTTTCAACAAGGGGAAGGAGAGGTGGGGATGCTGACGTAGGGTAGAGTCGCGGATACCGCTAATGCACCAAACTATCAGTTCTGATCATCGTACACTTGTAATTCCCAAGCATAAGAGATGTTGACACGTGGCAGTCTAAGTATGGGGACCACACCCAGCACAAGCCAACAACAAAAAGCAGGGCTGGACTGTTAAGTCTGAGGGTCGGAAATCGGAACTACCTCTACGGTTTTGATGTCACGCTTTTCTTATGCCATGCCATTCCTCCCTCGCCCTTCCCCTCCAATCGTTCATTCATATACAATCGAAAAAGATGGCCCCGCACGTGCGGAATCTCTCTCTCTCTCTCTCCATTTTTTTCACAGAACCAAACAAATTAATGGGGGAGGAGGCCGTTTCGCGTCTACATCTAATAAGAATTGACCAAAATGTGTAAAAAGTAAATGGATTTTACTGGAAGGATCGGGAAAAAATCGTTTCCTTAACATGAGGAGAGAGAGAGAGAGATATGACATCACCAACTTTAATCGGCAGTAAATCCTGTAAAACCATTGTTATGGCTTATGGTCCTTATGAAACCCCAAAAAAAATTCAGACTGAAACTAGCTAAGACCCATAGAGGTGGGGTTCCAATTCCTTGAATGTAGGCCCATTCCCGTCGCCACCACTCACCAGCACCCTGATTCACTACTTTCCGTGTCTTTTCACATACCCTGTACTTACCCAAACTCGTTGAGTCGACTCGACCCAGTTCTCCATTGACCTTGATCACTAATCAGTAATCACCTATGTTAGGAATTAATAATAAATAAGGACATTTCCATATCTGTTAAAGGATCAATTATTCTTGTAGCTTTTTTCTTTTTTTTCTTTTCTTCCAGTTGGTTGGATGTGAAGACGAATCCAGATCAATTTCTCCCAGAATCATGACTTTGCCATAATAAAAACCGATCCCTCACAATTCACAAATATATTGCAAGGAGTGGCCCATCAAGTTTGTTTCTATTCAAAACGTTATATATTATATATATGTCAATTGCTGGACAATTGGTTTCAGATTTAACCAATTGTCTGAAACAGACTGCATCTGTGCCCTCTCCTCTCCTTTCCTCCCCATCCATTATTAGGAATTGCCAACTTGAAATTAAGTGTTTTTTTCTAAGGTACCACAACATTGACATATTCCTAGCAACTATCAGCCCATTGCTAAGGTACCAATACAGCCCAATCGACGTGTATGGCTATATATATCTTGTGTCATCTACATATCGATACTTTGAACCCTGTATATATTGAACTACTTGGGAATAAAAACTAATAAAAACAGGCATTAATTCATCATTTTGAGCCCATATGGAACTATATGGTTAATTAGCCAAATTAGAGAATTAGAGAAGATAGAACCACAACATATGTCAGCATGGCATTTGCAACAGTTGCTTACGTGGTTCCAACTAAGAGATACTAGGATAAAGGCGAGGGATGGTTGTTTAATGCATTCAGGTGCCTTACATTAATTTGAGACAAAGTTTTGATATAATATCCTTCAAGTATGGTATCAGTCTATTTCTATGCTCAAGGACATATCACTTTGGAAAACCTAATTTACACTTTATCTTTTTGCTGAAATGGGAAGGAATAAATGATCCATGCATTTCTACCTTGTATTTCTTTCTTGCACTTTACCTATTAAAGGATGCCCTCAACACATGTTGTAGCCTCTTTTTGCTATTTAGTTTTATTAAGGTGTAAAACCCTTCCCCACCCCCATTTATTCATGGCTTCTGCATGCGGCTGTGGTCACAGCATTTTCTTGCAACTGCCAATAAAACACTAACATGATCTCTTTTTATTAGAAATCAAAACATTGACTCATCTACTTCTGGATTGGTCGGTAGCATGCTTATATTTTATTGGACGATCACAAGAAAGTCTACAACCATGGTTGCAGTACATATCGATGCCCTTTCCTTTATGTTTTACTAGCAGGGGTAAAATTTAAAAATGCCATTTGGAGGGATACAATATTTTTTTCTGCCTATTTGGAGATACAATAATAAATTAGGTTATATTTTTTAAAATAAAATAACTATATTATTATGAATAATAAATAACCACGTGGAACTAGTCTTGAACTGATTATTTAATTGGGATCAAATCATAGACCTCATTATATTGAAAACAATAGTCAAAATAATACTAATTTATTTTTATGTTAATAAGTTAAACATTTTTAACTAATATTATCTTATTTATTATTTATCAAATTTACTATTTCAAACATGAAACATGATAAAAAAATACAAGAAAGATAAAAAATTATATATTTCATAAAAATGTTTGGTTTCAGACCTGAATCAATTTTGGACAAGTAAGAATGAGAATCAATCCAATAATTAATCAAGATAAAATCATGGAACCAAAACTGTTATAATTATATTCAGTCAATTTAGCTCCATCAGGATAAACCCAACCCATTGGTTCAACCCTAGTTTTTCTTAGATAAATTAAATAAATAAATAAAAGTCTACTGGGATGGGACTAGTATGTGCTATCTTGAACCAGACCCAACTCGTTGACAACACTAAATATTAGGCTCAACGGGAGAGAATAATTTGTTAGAAAATTATTTCTAAATAATTAAATAATTTAGTAAAATAAATAAATAAATGTTTATTGAAATCTATCTCTTAATGTTACATCTCTTTTATTCTACCGATTTGTTTTATTAAAATAAATAATTTATTTAATTTTATTAAGTAAATAAATGTTTAGATAATAATAACAAAATAAATAAATGAACTAATAAAAGTTGAGATAGAGAATAGGAGAGAGAGAGAGAGAGTTGAGAAAGAAAATGAATGCCATTTTATTTATAGGATGTCATAATCATAAATAATTGCATGTGACATTACTGTAGCTTCCGAATGCCATTAAATAAATTATATAAGGAGATTTATCTTGTATGTGATATTGTTGTAATTTTTGAATATTATAGAGGCAATTATATAGGGAGGTTTGTGTTATATGTGGCATTATTGTAGTTTTCCAAACAAAAAGAAGTAGAAGAAAAGAGAGAATAAAGAAGAAAAGGGAGAGAGACACGCGTCAATAATTTAGAGAACAAAAAACATATAAGTATCAACCTCACAATGCTGCATACACCCTCCCAATGCTTTAAATATATAGATAGATTTGGTTTCATAGAAAATAAGTGGAAAATAGAAAGTTGAGAGAAAGTTCAAAAAATAGGTGCCAATCAGCTGGTTCTCCATATGGTTGTAGTGGAGATTTGGGATTGCCTACACCTGGGTTGGGGGATGGAAGGTTGTATAGCCCTTAAAAAGAAAAAAAAAAAAAGACAACAAGAAAAAGTTCATAAAAAATTTTGCAAGATTTCTTAAGAACTTTTTCTCAACTTTATGATCTATTATTTTATAATTGTCATCCTATCAGAATTGTTGGGCTTTTATCTCAATTTTTTATATATGTTCTCATTGGTTTGATTATGATACCAGAAAAACTTGTTACCAATCAATAGGTATCAAAAAAAATTATAACTAATTAGGTGGTATTCATCAAAATTCACAGGGAGTTTTAATTGGTTAAAACTCTTCAATTATCATACCTTTCCAGCATCATAGCATCATAAATTTATCATTTCATTACCATTTGTAACTACGTACATATATTTACAAGCTAAATCGGTTGAGAAAATATTTAAACCACATGGGAAAACTCTTGGGTATACAAAAAGACAAAAATAAAATAAAGAAATAACCTCATAAGAAGTTAATCCAATGTGGTTCTTCAGCTTCATAACAAATACCCTTTTAAAGCATCATAATTAGTTCATGCATCTCTTCAGCAGTTAATATAAGCATAGGGGTGTTCATTAAAAACAAAAAAAACCAAAAAATCAAGCCGAATCGATGGAATTGAACCAAAAATTCTGGTAAATAAAACCAGTTGATTCGGTATTTTTGAAATATATATAAAATTGTATTTATATATATTACATATATTTTATATTATTTATATATTATAAATATATATGCATTATATATAAAAATTTAATATATTATTTATTATTTACAATGTAATATACTATATGTATTTCTAATATTTATAATATATATTATTGATATCAAAACCCAAAAAACTGAAGAATCAAACTAATGGAAAACTGAACTGATCAACTAGTTAATCAATTATTTTTGGTTTACGATTTTCCAAAAGTCAGTGGTACAAATTCGGTTTGGGCAATAGGCTCACAGTTTATTAACCAAACCATAATCCCTACTTTAGAATTGTTTGATTTGACTATTGTGATTTACTACTACACTGAAAAACACTTGCATAGAAGCATGGAAATAATCCACTCTGGATTAGCAAGATCTCTTATTGGGTGCCTAATGAAAATGCATTTTTGAGCGTAAATATAATGCCCATTTGGGAGGGTTTTCATGCAAAGGCTTCTGATGTTGTATGAGCAAAGAAAACATCAAAAGTTGTGAAGTCCTATTCAAAATAGACTTGCAAAAGATGAAGTTACAAAATCATTCAAACCTAATTGAAAGAACTGCAAATCAAGTACGTACCATGCGTTTAGAAGGTAAATTGCCCCTTTTGACTTTTCAACTAAAAGAATCTGAAAATGACATCTCACCCTCTTGTTACACTTCTTTTTTAACTTTTTAACATGGTTCAGCATTATTTTCAATCAATTAATGAATTAAATATGGTTATGAGTAGAAGGTGTTGGATCTTCTAAGGTTAGGCAAATCTGTGGTACATTTTATGGAAATTGTTGTAATATAATTCAAATGTGAATGAATTAATCAGTGATAAAACCTACAAATTAAAGTCTCATCTTTGACATTGTTAAAATCTTTAATGATAATTATACCTGCAAAATGTAAATTAATTAAAAGTAAATAACCCATGTGATGTTTTCAACATGTTGAAACTTT